TTTGCTTCATATTTGGGAATCAAGTGGCACTCAGTAACGATCGTCATACCTAACTTGATAATAAATCACATGAAGGTTGGAATTACAAAAGAAAGAAAATTGTATATTTAATAAAATGCTTTAATAGTTATAAAAGGGTTAAAAAAATATAGCTAAGAATTACACTGTTTAAATTATTTTATAATTAAAATAATAACCATTCACTGCAAGTTTAACATTATTTGAAAGAAGATGATGCACCAGATTTTCAAGAGAGGACAATTAAATTAAAAGTAATTACTACTCATGTGAAAAGATTTTAACTGTGATCTTCCTTAACTTGTATGAGATTGCTTTTAATATTCTATGACTATTACATCTTAAACAACCCACTGACCTCAGAAGTGAACGTGGTCTAACCTACAAAGATGCTGTTTACTTTTCAATGCACAAATTTGTTGGAGGCCCCCAGACTCCCGGTGTTCTATTAGCAAAAAAGAACCTTTTTCGTGCAGGAGAGTACTTTCCAGAAGGCGCAGGTGGTGGAACGGTAGCCTTCGTTACTAGAGAGCACCATGTTTATCTAAAAGTAAGTTAGATTATATGTCATATGTCGGCGTTTACGAATACACTTAAGATTATAGCTGTCTGTTAGTATACTCCAATGTGCATGTATTCTACCAAAATAAAATTAAACCCAGTTAGACTTGCCAATATATATATACATTTGCATGCAAATTATCGTAGATATCCCTAAGTTATTTGCTACGAGACCATAGTAACTTTATATACTTATCTAATTTATTATTTGCCTCCCTACTTAAGTGAAAGTTATGCATATATTACTTCGTCAATTTTAGTGACATATGAGATCCATTTAGACTTCTTAGTTGACACTAAAACCAAAGTTTTGAGCCTTTGTATTAATATAGGCAGAATTAGCACAATGATGCGGTAAGAAAAGATATTTTACTTTTAAGGTAACTTTACAGACTAATGTTGATGCCAAAACTTACTGGGGCAAACTTAAATGTATGAATATGAGAATATGAGAATTACCTAAACCATGTTAAAAGAAAAGTATCGACAGGCAATGGCACATTCTATATTTACGGCTTCTTATCAGTTAAGTTTTGCCTATCCCTTGATCAAAATTGTAAAACCTTTAAAGGTAGTATGAGTTAAATAAATAAAAAATATAAATATGGATAAAAATTACTTCTAAGGAGTGAAAAGATAGCTAGAAAAATATAGGCTTGAGTCTATGTTGCAACACCATTCATAAGAATGAGTAAAGCTGGAGATGTGGCTTTTGAGCGCATAGCTTCAACCTATATAGCCCGATTTTTACAGCCTAAATGAGGGATGCAGCCAATAGTGTTTAGGTATCTGACTATTCCAGATTCCTATTAATAAAAACCATTTCAATGTTATATTGAAGCATAATTCATTTTCGAGTCTCAGCACCACTAGGGTTATCTGATAAGGACGGTAACTCATTTGTCCATATATCTGTATATCCATACTACGAATCCTGTTGTGGGTTATGCAGTCTACTCTGGAGTGGAATTCGTTTTAAGAGTACGTGTAATATCGAAAGTAAAAACGAAATCAAGCTTCTATTTTCAAATAATAGAGGTTTGGTTTACTCATCACATGCCATATCGTGCATGCATTGGTGTATGGTATTCGCTTGTGTGCTTAACAAGGGAATTCTTCGTGCCCGGCTGGTAGCTGACTTTCACTATCTGTATTTCCAGCAGTTTAAGTGCATACATTTTTGTCATTATTGGTCAAATTAATATATATTACATTAGTTCATAAAGATATTCGCTTCTTCAATGTTTTGTCTATTTTATTCTTTAATTTTTTTAGGGCATCGAAGACAGGGAGGAAGGCGGTACACCGGCCATCGTTGAATCCATAAGGGCTGGAATGACAATGCAGTTGAAAATGGCTATTGGTGCCGATAACATTCTGGCAAGAGACGATGAAATTGTTGCGTATGTAAACCCTCTTCTTATCCTCATTTATAAGATTCACATTCATAAGTATTCTGCTTACAATAATTTATTTCTGGCTATTAAAAAAGAATTAGATAAACAATTATTTACATTTTAACATGACAGAAATTTCCATAAAACGTATTTTCACCTTTGGAGTTATATCGATCACATTTTTACCCTGGAATGCTACTATTTAGTGACTCAGTATTCTCTTACTCATATGAGTTGCTACAACCGCTCATTCCAAAATATATTAGGTGTTTAATCTGAAGGAGTAGTAGGCGATTAAATCAGGATCTAGTTTGTAAAAATGCAAAAACTTCTTTTACTTCATTGAAGAATAGCCCTACAAATTTATTCCTGGTATGAGTACTTGCAGAATTATTGCATTATTCTCTCTATATGCAATGACCTTCCGATATAATATCTATGGTTTTGGCCTTTCCATTATGTCCTAGCAGCATCCAAACCAGATCGTGGATATCATTGATACAATCGTGTGGTAGGCTGCAAACACATATGTGCTGCGTAAATAAGTCAAATGAAATCTACTTTTAAGATATGAAGAAAAAACTGGGTTTCGAAGAATTCCTTAGTGATATATTATGACATGACTAACAATTTCGAATGAAAAGTTGGCCCAAATAAAAGTTCGTGTGTTTTAAGAGGCCCTCTTGTTTCAGAAGTTACTATTTCATTATATGGACGATTACTTTGCTGTTTGACAATATGGCAAAGATAGTAATTATTTAACCTTGTTTTCGCAACTTGATCATATTGGTAGGAACACTTATAGTTTGGGGGAATTTCTTGAGCTAACAAATAGAAGAGACGTCAATACTAAGTTATGGAATTAGAGAGGGGGAATAGATTGCCTTTTTTGGCCTATTGTTGAGCAAAGTCGGTAATAAGTTGGGCAGAGACGTGTATAGAAAATCCACACATGAGGGTTTTCTAATTAATTTCTTTTCGAATCATGGATATAGATTTACAATAGGAGTTATGAAATCAGTGATAATAGGGAGTCTGCGTCCAGCAGACGTAAAGCACAGATAAATTAAGGCAAATATTTTTTCTATACCATTACCCATTAGGATTAGTAGACACCTATATTTGAATCGTCAGTAACAAAGTGAAGGGAGATCGCTATCTGGGGCAGGATAGACAATCGGAAGATTCTACTCGGTGCCTTATTTTGCCTTCCTAATAGCTTGCGAAATGGTTG